AAGTAATGAAATTATAAAGAATACACAGGGATCTGCTTTTTTCAGGGCAACACAAAAAAAAATATACAGTATTTTGTTAATTTGACTCATTCCACAAACTATTTTTAAAAAACTGGTCGATGAAATCTGTGGTCCGTTATTTTCTTGAGCATTTTAACAAAATAAAATGAGAGAAGGAGATTTGGGATTATCTCTGTTTTTTTTTTTGTCACTCTTTAAAAACTTCTGTTATTAGCTTTTTACTAACTGTACACTGGAAAAATTTTAAATCTCAATAAATATTTTTTTAATTAATAATTCTTTCTTAAAGTAAGAGCATTTTTCTTGACTTGAGGAGTTAAGAGTGAAACTTTGCCAATGGAGCAACACACTAGAAAAAATCCAAATCTAGATAAGTAATTTTTTCTTAAAATAAGTGCATTTCTTCTTAAATTGAGGAGATTAAAGATATATTTTGTCAATGGAACTAGACAATTCAGATTTAAAATAAGAAAACACAATTGCATTGTCTTATTCAAAGTGCATATTATCTAATTATCTTATTTTAAGGGTAAAAATACTCATTCCATTCGCAAATTATCAAATTTACCTATTAAATTTAAGACATTTTTACTTATTTCTACATAATTTTTGCAGTGCAGCGTTTACGTTTAAAATAAGAGAACAATTGCCTTGTCTTGTTATAAGTGCATATTATCTAATTATCTTACTTTAATAGTAGAAATACTCATTAGATTGGCAAGACAATTTACACTTAAAATAAGAAATCACAATTACATTGTCTTATTCCAAGTGCATATTATCTAATTATCTTATTTTAAGGGTAAAAATACTAATTCCATTCGCAAATTATCAAATTTACCTATTCAAATCAAGGGTAAATACACTTAATTTAAGACATTTTTACTTATTTTAACATCATTTTTGCAGTGCAGTGTTTATGTTTAAAATAAGAGAACAATTGCCTTGTCTTGTTTTTAAGTGCATATTATCTAATTATCTTACTTTAATAGTAGAAACACTCATTCCATTGGCAAATCATCTTATTTATCTACTCAAATTAAAGGTAAATACACTTAATTTAAGAAATGTTGACTTATTTCAATATAATTTTTGCTGTGTGAAACCTCTATGTGTTCCATACACTGGAAAAAATCTAAATCTAGATAAGTAATTTTTTCTTAAAATAAGTGCATTTGTTCTAGGATTGAGGAGGTAAAAGAGACATTTTGCCAATGGAACAAGACAATTTACACTTAACATAAGAAAACACAATTGCATTGTCTTATTTCAAGTGCATATTATCTAATGATCTTATTTCAAGAGTAAAAATACTCATTCCATTGGCAAACATCTCATTTATCTGCTCAAATTAAGGGTGAATACACTTAATTTAAGAAATTTTTACTTATTTCTAGATTGTTTTTGCAGTGTGTAATTGTGTTTCCTTATTTTAAGTGTAAATTGTCTTGTTCTTGGCAAAATGTCTCTTTTACGTCTTCAATCCAAGAACAAATGCGCTTATTTTAAGAAAAAAAATGACTCGTCTAGATTTGATTTTTTCCAGTGTATTTAGAAAATAAATTACTTATTTATATTTACATTTCTATTTACATTACATAAAATGACATTTTTGGTTTCTGTTCTACTTTTGTTGTTTGTCAGGATTCAAAATTTGAAGCCAACTAGTTAATGAATAGATGTTTTTGGTGCCTATAGATTCTTATAGCAATGCAAACAGCATCTCAGCCTGTTTTTATCTCTTTGCCCTACTTATGAGATCCTCCCACTAACAAACTGTACCAATGCAGTTTTCATGGATTCAGCTGGCCAGCAATCAGACAGCGACGCCAGGTTTAGCAGCGAGGAGAGCTTCAGCTCCTCGCTGATTTCTGACACGCGACATTGCATAATGACGACCTGGACGTTTCTATGTGCAGCACAAAAAAACTAAAACATAACATTACGGCCTTTAAATCTAACAGGCTTCATTTATTGATTGGCTCCTTCAAGTTTCTGTTATCAGCTGCTGAGCTGCTTTCAGGATTATGCAAAAAAATAAATAAATAAAAAAACACATTTTCTGTTTTTTTTACATTTGTTTATAGAATCATACAGTTCAATCGAAAAGTATTCCTATTCCTCTTAATGTTTTATGTTTTGGTGTATTTGAGCTATACAGGCCACCTTAGTTTGTTGTGACTTTATGCAAACGACAGACTTTAAGTAGTTTATGTTTTTTTTTTGAGTAATAATCTGAAAAGTGTTTTATTATTTATTCTGATACCTTCAAATGAAACTAACAGATTTGTAAGGTACCTTAGTAATCCACTGAGTGTGTGGTTTAATCTTGATGTAAATCAAGCTGTTCTGCCAGTAGTTTGTTAGAGAACATTATTGAGTAAAGAGCATCATGAAGACCAGATAAAACAGCAGACATTCAGAGGGAAATATGTGAAAAACTTTTCAATCAACCAATTCAAAAAAATGAGCCAGACTCACTGAAACTGACAATGAGGAAATTAGAGCAGATTCTTTGACAGAACAAACTCCACACATAAAAAGGAGCCGTAAGAAGACGACGTTGGCTAAAAGCAGCCATAAAAAGTGCATTTACAGCTTGCCATACAGCTGTGTAGGAATCACACACTGGAAAAAAACTAAATCTAGCTAAGTAATTTTTTCTTAAAATAAGTGCATTTGTTCTTGGATTGAGGAGATAAAAGATACATTTTGCCAATGGAACAAGACAATTTACACTTAAAATAAGAAAAGACAATTACATTGTCTTATTTCAAGTGCATATTATCTAATTATCTTATTTAAAGAGTAAAAATACTCATTCCATTGGCAAACATCTCATTTATCTGCTCAAATTAAGGGTAAATACACTTAATTTAAGAAATGTTTACTTATTTTTAGATCGTTTTTCCAGTGTATTATTTAATTATCTTACTTTAAGAGTAAAAATACTAATTCCATTGGCCAATCATCTTATTTATTTACTCAAATTAAAGGTAAATATACTTCATTTAAGAAATGTTGACTTATTTCAATATAATTTTTGCAGTGTGAAACCTCTGTGTGTTCCATACACTGGAAAAAATTTATATCTAGATAAGTAATATTTTATTAAAATAAGTGCATTT